TGTCATCTTAAAAGAATGACCATACAAATGGAGATACTAACTCTCCCCTTTCAGTGATCAATAGATGCCAAGATATTAATCAAAAGCAAGAGGAATGTTGCGAATATTTTAACATTTTTTATTTGTAACTGTTGGAAGTAATTGTTAATTGCTTTTCGGTTATATAAATGCTTTGGGAACTTGGCAATATCTTTTTCTGGCACCATAAATGCATTTGAAACTGGAAGACCTCGCGAGTATGTGAAATTCTTACTAAAGCTCTAGGGGTCATGTCTACTTTGGCAACGCATGAAGGAACCAGTCCTAGAAGAGTTAGACCAGGAGGTTATGATGCATGTCAAATTTGGCTATAGACATACACGCTGATTGCTGTAGAAAGACAAGAATTAGCCCCATGGAACGGGCTCTATACTCTTCTTTATCCAGCTACACTAAATACAGATATTAGAAGCCAAAATTCATATGATTCTCATGAATTTATCTTTAGGTTGGTGGTAATCACATTAGCCAAGCATCAACCTCAGGGAGGGCCCTAAGGGATGCTGCTGCTCGTGCTATGCAGGGTTGGCACTCTCAGAGTTCTGGTAATGCCGAGGTTAGCACTCCAATTCTTAAGGTATTTTAAGATTCCATATTTGACACTTCCAACAATTATGTCCCGCCATCTGCCTCGCCTTACCTCTGTTTTATCCATTTCTTCCATTTGTGGTCATCTTACAAACAATTTCTTTTTTCAGGATGGGAAATCTAGCTATTCACAGAAAAGTGACAAGCAGATAAAGAGTGGTGGTTATGTTTTAATCAGTTTTCTTGATTTGTATGCCAATTGGATAGCTTTATATGAGACTTACTATACTGACTCCCAATGTTATCTTCAGGTTTGTTAAAGCGCAAAAAAACACCTGCACCTGGGAACACTGTTCATCTGGCTCGCACTAAAGCATTGAAGCCACAGTAATTTGCTGAATCAACTAGTTCGGGTCTGAATTGTTTGTGAATTAACAAGCGAAAAATTTTCCTTGACTTTGGGTTCTTTTTTTTTTTTTGTAGATTGAACTCAAGAGTAATTGATGTTGGACCACCTGCTGACTGGGTAAAGATTAACGTGTACAAAATTGTAAGTTCTTCTGTTTCTGATGGAATTCTTTCAGACATATATTTTCAATGGGAAGTAACTGTCTTAACTATGACTGCAGAATGAGTGCTTTGAGGTTTATGCTTTAGTTCCTGGGCTTCTCCGCGAGGAGGTAAGTCTAATGTAGCTGGTAGCATTTTATTATGCCCTTTTTTGCGCGTTTCCTCCATTTTAAAGATGTTACTTCTTGTTTTATCGTTTCATCTTTACACTGAAAGGAGGATTGTCATTTATTATTATTCGGTTTGTGTAAGTGGTTAGAGGGATTTCTCAATACATGATCTACAATCACATCAAAGGTCTGTTTTGATGAAAAGGTTAGGCAACATTGTACTTGCTGAAAGAAAAATTCAATGGACGTGGCAATGACGACAGTTAACCTTTTTCATAGTTTATGCATCCCGGTGTCTGCTGGTCCTTGCGGTGCAAGAGGAAGTGATTATGCCGCCTTAGCTTTTAGTGCTGGGCACTCGTGATCGTTTTATTTTCTTTCCCCAGTAATGCAGTTTTGTAATTGAAAGATGGCTGTGCAGTAACACTTTGGGCATAAAATCCAGGATGGGTTTTAGTTCATACAAAGAATGTATACAGCTGTCTGGGAATTCAAAATTTGTTAGTCAGCCCCATGGGTGGGGATGCTTGTAGTGTGGGAAGGCACTTAGACTAAGCTAGGCAAAGCTGAATCCATTAGCCTCACCCGGGAGTCATTTTGTTATAAGCTAGCCACTCTTCTACTGGATAATTTGATTTTTGTTTTCCATGAAAAGAAGAGTTGTTCCTGGAAAATCTTCTGATGGTTCAAGCAGAAAAATGTCAGAAAAGACATTCAAAAGATTGGTGATTATTTGGTTGCAGCCTTCCATTCATAACTTTTTTATTTTATAAATCAGGTACACGTGCAGTCTGATCCTGCAGGACGTCTAATTATATCTGGTCAACCACAGCAACTGGATAATCCATGGGGTGTCACGCCCTTTAAAAAGGTTTGTTCACAAAATAGAGATTACATACTTAGAGTCCGTGTGAAGATGAATTTTTGCTTCTCTGTTTCAGTTTCAAGCAGTTAAACTGCAAATTTAGCACTGTGCGAATGCTTGTTGATAGAGTTATCGTAAGTTCCAAATGTCTACGCCAGCATTTTACTATCTTTATGATAACTCAGATGAAGTACGAAATTTCTTTATTCATGAAAAGGTCATAGAAAACCTCATCTTCCCTGTTGTTGCCTACAGTTTTTTGGAAATACGGATCCTACAGAATTTGATTTTCAGATATCTGCATTCTTGGTTGATCAGCTGCAGTATATTTGAGGAGTTTGTGCGATTGGAAATTTGACAGTCGAAGTGGTTTCTTGCAGGTTGTCAGCTTACCATCAAGAATTGATCCACACCAGACATCTGCTGTGGTCACCCTGAATGGCCAATTATTTGTGCGTGTTCCATGTGAGCAGAAGGATCTGTAATGCTAGAGCCGCTCTGTGTTTCGCGAAGCATCTGCATGTCACGCTCTGTTCATATCTAAGAGATGAAAGATTTGCTTTTGACCTTGCAGTGGCCCTGCTTCGCGAATTTCTCAACTCGAAAGTTTCGCTAGTAAGTCTTGCCCACTAAATGCCTAAATGAAGGTTTGACCGACACCAGTGGATAGCTTAATTTTTTTGGAATAATTTTTTATATTTATTGACTAATAATCGCCTTTATTCTTAGCGTATTATGATCATGGAATTATGTAGTTTTGTTATCGGGATTCGAGATGGAGCTATGATTAAACATATATGTTGCATACTGGGAAAAGAGAACGCTTATTCGGTATTCAGATCTTTAGATTGTCTTTGATGCAATTATGTGTAGTACATGCCAGATGTGAGGAGCTATTCCATAAGGAGGATTAATCTAACGATAGTATGCTTCCATGGTATGGTGTACACTGACTTGTTGTGCATTAGTGATTCTTGCGTAATCTTCTTCTTAAGGTAATTGATTTCCTGTTACATTCTGTTGGTGATTACAGCTAATACAACATGAAAATTTAGTTGATGGAAAACTGTCTCTAACTGCTGAAGCTCATAAAATATAGTCATGCGGGTATCGATCGATAAGTATTCAAGTGCGAGCTTTGATTTTCAAGGAGATGGGGAGGTTGATACAGAGAGAGTCCTGCAAACTTACGACACGATTCGCTTGTTTGCTGCCATGTTCTTGCAGCACCTTTATAGCAGAGGCTAATCTTTCTAACTGCAGAAACTTACCTGGTCAGCAACCACGGAAGTTTTGTGCATTTGATCGAGAGGAATTAGATGGTCAAGCACTCGAATCTTCAGTTGAAGCCAGTACAAATTCTTGCAATTCCCAAGCATAGATGGTCAAGCATTTAGGCAATATCTATGATCAATCATGCAATTTCCCTAATTTTCTTGCAATTAGGAAAAATTATGTGATTAATTCTTGCAGTGATTGGTGAAGGCCGTGTATGATCACATTCTTCATTGCCCTCCCTTTGGTCTTACGCAACGAGTGTCTCAACGCCAAAAGGCCTATTCAAAGGCGACAACTTGAACCACTTAATGACTTTCTCCATCCTATACCAATATATTAACGAAAGCTGTGTTTTCACACGGTTGAAATTTTGGGCTTAACTACGATAGAAAATTAATTCAACGGCTGATCTCTACCAATGTAAAAGCATGCTTTGTATGAACGCGGAACTGCTTGTCGTCGCCGCCATCGAAGGGGTTGACTTTCCTAACGCCGTCGCGATCGAAGGGGTTGACTTTCCTAACGCCTTGCTTAGCAAGATGAGCGAAGTTTGATAGGTGACTATCAAACCAATTGTCTAACGAGCTTTGCTATATAATCCTATGGCCCCTTGAACGGGTTTTGGTGAATACTGTTATTGCCCTCTCAGATATGGCAAATAATAGGCGTCATCTGAGCCATTTGCTTGACCTAGCGATCATTGTTTTCGCAATCCTGGTCACGGTGGGTATGTCTGATAGCGCGTGGCCCGCTTCATATAAGGAGTACTCCATCGCTGCCGCCGCCGCTCCAACCCTGGGTGTGACGCCCAAAGGTGGTGGCTCCGCTGCCAGACAGCCTCATCCGAGCGTGGCCTTTGCCGTTGCTTCATTTGCCATCGGATTAGCATGCATTTTGCCTCTCTGACTTAATTAATTTGTTCTGGAGAGCAGAAGACGATTATACTTTGTTACTTGGCAGTGCGAATTGAATTGGCAAGCTTTTGTTGCTTGAGCGGAGGGGATCAATGCCCAAGACATGTCGGTGTTTAACCTCTCCATATCTTGTCATATCATAAGTTAGTCTCATATGCTTGTCCCACTTGTTGCATAAGGTAGTTGTCCTCTATATGAACATCTTCTGTAGTTGATATTACTGCAGTCTTTTCATGATTTTGGGTGATTTGACATACATATAGCGCAGAGGATGATTACACGAAACTTTGATCCGCTAATGACATAGATAAAATGACCATACTTGAGCTACTTAAACTGCATGCAATGCATGGCACTTTCAAGTTCAGCTAAGACTGAACTGAAGAAATTAAAGGAAAGAAAAGAAACCCCTCTTGTCTTCTTAATTGGCCTCCCACATTCCAAATGACTGAAACAGAAGTTTCTATTTTTGCCCATGTTACTAGGTATAGTTAAACGCAGAGGAATTCAACGATTATTATTTTTGTGATCGTGTAAATTGTTTATTTTACATATACATATACATATATATATTAATGAGAGGAAATCATTAATACTTTACAATGAAATATCAATCAAAACAAAATTCTGCCTACAGTCCTTCCTACTACATATAATTACCATAATTATATATCTGCGTGCCTCCGGATCTTAATGTAGAAAATATGCAGCTGAATTACCACCGAAGAAAAAGAAGAAGGAAGAGGACATGCTTATAGTTTATGTTATCCAAGAATAAAGAAGTGAAGAACAGGACACACAGGATGTGTAGAAGCCAGTCTCATAAAAAACCAGAAGAAAATCTTGTTCCTTCACATCAAGAAAACTAACAGGGTTTGAGTTTGCAACTCAAAGCTGATGGTATGGACATCTGCCTGAATTTCTAGTTCAGTCCTCTCTTTCTTGATCACTGTGTGTGAGGTTTTGATTAACAAACAGATCAAATTCTCATCCTCCACACACCTTACCTTAATAAAGAAAAACTAAAATGGAGGCCTCCCTGCTCCACCGCCTCCGCTACCCCAACCGAACGCATCGCTGCCGGAGAAAGGATAATTTCCCCCTCCCAAATTGTAGAACGGGACAGAACTGCCACCGTTCCCACCGCTGCCACCTAGACTAGTCCCGCTCACCCCTTCACCCATTTGATCGCCGCCGCGAGCCGTGATGACCGACGACTGCGATGCCGATTGCTGCACTTGTGCCGGCGGCGCATCCTCTCCCCCCTCCTCCAAAGGCAACCTATCGAACATTGCGTTCGCAAAGGATGCTGCCATCAGAACCACCGGCCCTGATGCCATCAAAGGCCCGGCCACGCTTCCACCCACCACCTGCCCCTGTCCTCCTGCAAGATATATTGCCAATCCCCCAGCACCCGGCGGCGCGGGAGGTGGCAACACCGTCCCCGTCAGCGAAAGGATGTCGAATCTCCCATGCATGGTGACGATGCTCCCGGACGGCGTGGCGGGCTGGCGGAGCGTGACATTGGTGACGGCACCGGTGCCACTGAGGATGGAGATGCCCCGGCCACGGCGACGGGCGTAGGTGGTGATGGCGTCAACAATGTCGGAGCTGGCGGAGACCTCAAGAACATGGGATTGGAGGGCGTTGGGGGTGTCTCTGGTGATGATGATAGGGGGCTTGGGCTTGTTCTTGGAGCCAGCAGGGCGGCCACGTGGGCGGCGGCCGGAGGAGGATGGGGTGCCTGAGCTGGTGGTGGGTGCTTCTGGATCTCTTGAACCAGACATTGCCCTAATCTCTCTCTCTCTCTCTCTCTCTCTCTCTCTCTCTCTCTCTCTCTCTCTCTCTCTCTAGGACTCCATGTGCTTTTTGAAGTTGAAGCTAGCTCTTCCTTTTTTCTTTGGGGGTATTCTAACTTTCCGGCTAGGGTTTCTATGTAGTAGAAGAGGATAGGCTAGAAGATCAAAGGAATTAAGCAAGAAAGCTCAAGAACAGCTCAAGATCGCCAGAAAAGAGAAAATTGAAGAGCCACAAAAGTGAAAGCTATGTTCTTCACAGGTGATCTGATCTTCTTGCATTTGCTACTTTGAACCTTGTGAGGGCAAAAAAGAAGAACAAAAAACGGAGCTCTTTTTCTGGGTTTCAGAGAGAACTTATTTCTGAGGATATTGATCATCCTAAAGTTAAAACATCTCGAACTGCTCCGGCGTCTTCTCGTCCCCTTTCGCGGGCTGAGATTGAGGTCTCTGGAAAGACGCAAGCGCGGAAGATCATGGAGAAGAAACGAAGCGCAAGAATTGAAGAGGCTAAACGTTAAATGCTAAGCTCTCTAGGATCAATTGATCACATCACTGATGAGGTAGCTCACTGTGAATGAAGGAGGAGCTCATGTTCTTGAGATCACTCATGGCGTTTGAGATGAGCAATTCTGAGAGAGGCATGGAGTGAAGAGGGTTTGTTAGTTTATTAGCTGAGAGAGAGAGAGAAAGAGAGAAAGAGGAGTTCCAATGCAAAAGGAGAGCTTAGAATTAAAAAGATGAAAAAGGGTTGAGAGAGGAAGAACATGCCTGACACACAAGGCATGGAAGCACTAAAAATACTTTAATGGATGCCCTAATCTATGCAAAAAGAAGCATTCCATAAGCTTACCTACCTCACTGTGGTGGAGCTACAGGCTGAAATTTTTTATAATTCTTTATGGTGAGTTTGATTCGCTGAGAATAGACGATTTGAAAATTATTTATTTGAAAAGGATCGCACGGATTACTTACAAAAATGAATGAACATAAAATATTTTTATTGTTCTAAAAAATATTTAGACATGAATAGTTATCAGCAACGAAGATATTTTTTATTGACTGATTATTTCAAACGATCATTGTTAAAAAAATATTTTCCCAAGTCATTCTTTTTCCACGAAACGAACAAAGCCTTAGTAGCACTGCGATTCTTGTGAGCTATCTCCTAGCTAGTTTGTTATTGTATTCTTTGTGTGTATTATTTAATTTCAGAGTGTCATCAATAACTATACTCTTAGGGTTTTCACACTTCCACTTTTAGGGGAGGACCTTGTTTGCGACCCAACAAGCAGAAAATAAAATCGAGAAAGCAAGAAAATGATACGCGATTAATTTATGTTAGCTCCGCCACCGGCCGGCCCACATCCACCGGCAGAGGAGGAGCAAGAAAAATTCACCGGGTCGGATTCGGCGTGCCAAAAAAGACATGGAAAACTCACAGCTGAGCCTCTAAAAACCAAACTAAAATCTCACTCTCTGCATTTCTGAGAATTGTGAAGGGGAGCATCTTTACGTCGAGATCTCGAAAATTAAGATCGCATTCCGAAGGAAAGATTTAAGAACGAAACATTCATATCACTATATACGCATGGTAAACTGGGGGGGAAGGAGGGAAATGTGCATATGAAATGTAATGTGGATGCAATGTGCAATGTGCATGTATCTTGGAGAAGATGCCAAGCAAGAAGTCAAAGCAGCATGGACGAGACGCATTGGCGTGTCAGGCACGTGAGGCATGTCGGGACATCGGAACTTGACCATTCCCTCTCTTATCCTCTCTCGTTTCTTGGGTCCTCTTTCATTCATGCATCCCCACACTCCTCACCCTATTTGGCATTGTGCACATTCAGTATATGAGGATGTCGTAAATTTGATATGTACATAAACTTATGTCGTGAACAAATCTAATACTACGAAAATCGAATATTACTTTACTAAAAAATTCTTACATTGCGACACTGGTTAATAGGAATCTTATGTACAATAATGTTTGACGAAATATGTAAAGTGTCGGGCGAAGTCCCACGTGACAAAATCGGTATAGTATACATGGTGCAGCTACTATATATGCTTTGCTTGTAATCATTGGGTTAGACTTTTTTAGTTGGGTGGTGGTGTCCAGCTAGATATATATTAATGAGTTTTGACAATTTTAACTCTTTTAAACTCTTTTATGGCAATAAGCATCGGGAGAAGGTAGCAAACTTTTGCTATGTATCGAAGTCTTTGGTTCATGGATGTTTCGTAAAGAGGGACTCGATCTTGAGCTCTAATCTCTTGATAATTTCCGACCTAGTGTGGCGAGAGGAAGACAATGGATGAAGGCGAGCATTATGGTGTAACAAGACAATCCCGAGGTAGCAATGGACAGTTGTCACAATGCCCGCGGATATTCAGTTGAGATATATCGAAGGTGTAGAAGATGGTTGGATTAAATGGGAGCATGCCCGATTAGCACCCAAGAGAGACACACAAGAAGAGGAGATTGTTGAAATATATGTTTTAGGGATGTTGGGCAAAGCACCATACCATTAGATTTATGTGACGTTGGGTAGTTAAGATATCTAATTAGATGACCACTAATTAGATTAAACTTTTGAATGAAAATGACTTCAATCGAATATATATTAATGGATTGGACTAGGGCTTTCTCTCAAAATGTCTCCCTAAGGTGAGTTATCGAGTCACGAGTGTCGAGATTCAATATCCACCGATTAGGTTGTTATGCCAACTCATCATGTTAGTCAACACACGCTACTTTCACCTTCATTCCCTAATACGAAAAGATATTTCATACAATGGTTATCCCACATTACAGTGATACCTAGAGACGCAATTCAAACGGAAATGAAAATTTTCAAGATTCAAACAAAGATGGATTCGGATATGCATCATCACACGAGCAATGTGGGCTATACCACGCCAGTTGTGTAATAGATGCATAAAATAATTCCCCCTCTGGACATGCCCTTTCCACAATATGTGAAAAATCTATCGTTTCCTGTATGTTCAACTTGATGTGCATTACATCCATCCATTTTACTGCGTAGCCATTACTTGTTTTATTTTACTAATTGATTTCATGATCTTAAACTTCAGTGGTGTCCACTTGACACCAGAAGAATATAAATAAAAACTGAATGACAAGTACCAAGCGAAAATGAAAATTTCCAAAATTCAAACAAAAAAATGGATTATAATATAAACCATCACATGAGCAATGTGGGTTATATCACGTTAGTCATGTAATAGATACATAAAATAATCCCCCCTTTCGACACATCCTTTTCACAATGTGTGAAAACCCTATCGTTCCTAGGTATATGTTCAACTTGATGTGCGTTACATCCATCTATTTTACTGCGTAAACATTGCTTGTTTTATTTTATAAATTGATTTCATGATCTTAAACTTAAGTCAGGTCCACTTGACGCCAAAAGAATATAAATAAAAACTGAGGACAAGTACCATGATCTTTTTGCACCGGGCACTAGAGTTGCAGCACCTGTAGCTTCACGAATGATCTCATCTCTTTCATGCCAAGCGTAGCAAACCTACCTTATTCAATATTAGCTATGATTGCCACCGTTAATTTACCCAGCAATTCTTTAATCACTATACTTAGAGCGATTAATCTTAAAGTCAGTGATACGGTTGCATGCATATAGACCTCAGAGAAGAGTGAGCCTAGCTAGCTAGCTAGCTCTCATCACCAATATGCCCATCATTGGGGTTTCAGTCCTTTTTCAATCTTCCAGCACCGCCCATGTGTTTAATTTATCATAACTTAACAGTGCACATATATATAACTATGTTCTCTTAGTAAAAGATGGAATAGTAACATGCTGTGCAACTCGATTGAACTGTGCCACCTCGGAGAGAATAATGATCGATTATTATATAGAACCACTTTTGTCTTGAGCCACCAAAAAAGCCTAGCATGGCTTGAATACTTTACATTAAAAGAAGAAGGAGAAGAAAGAGACCCATTTAATTAATTTACCCTTTGTCTCAACATTAGTCTTGATTTGTAAATGAGATTAAGGTTCCGTCCGTTTCGCGAAAAATGAATAATTTTGAAAGTATTTTCCTAAAAACGATGAATTGTTTCGTTTGTAAAAATAAATTAATTGAAAATATTTTTATCATCTATGAAAATGTTAATTTATAAATTGTTGTTGATAAATAAAATATTTTTCATTGACTAATTATTGTAAATGATACAAGCAATTGTTTTTTCAAAAATATTTTTTTAAATATATTGATTTTTCTCAAAATAAATGGAGCCTAAGAGGGAGGGTATGCTTCCAAAACCAGTTCTAGGAACTGACCTATATTAACATGGCTCTAAATGCCATGAAGAAATACCGAGAGAGATCTGATATGGGATTGACCCGATGTCATTCTCATGCTTTCAATTCAAGAACCAATGGCCGTGGGTTCGCTCCTGTCTTGCAAAACTCATATTTAAATGGGGGCGTCGTGACAGTGGATTATCGTGTTAGTTTTCCTCCAAATAATCTGTGCGGCATAACCCTAGATTATTAAAAAAAATACTAAGAGAAAAGGAAATTGTGTAAAACAATACATAGGATAATTTCTCGTGACAGTCAGGGTGAGTATGATTCCAGGGTTAAATCCAGAACCGGAGAATCATATTAGTGGGAATCTGTTCGGTTCCAGATTCTAAGATATACAAGGTAGGTTTCAAGTTCCAAAAATTAAGGAACTTGTTTCGATAGATAGGTTCCAGTATTTAGGTAGGTGGAACCCGGAACAAGTTTTGTATTTTTCTTTGTCTATGTCTTCGAGTGATCATGTGGTATTCCATGGCGTTCAATAATGAATGTATAATATAAAACCATTAATTTGAGCTTCCATTTTATAATTGAGACTTTTTCGTGTGTCTAGATATAAGTTGTGGTCAGTGGATTGTGGCAGCAAGTGATGGTCATTAAAGATGATGATTCAATATAATTGTTCAATTAATAATACAAGTAAAACCTGGGTAAACCCAAGAACGGACCCTAGAACCTGTGATATGGTAGGTTTGAGGTATCGGGGTATGCATGGTAGATTCTAGGTTCCAGAAAATAAAGAACCTGTTTTAACGGGTAGGTTCCAAATTTCACGTGAAACCTATACGAAACCTGTAACCGTTCGTCTCTACATATCAGTGTTTGTCTTTATTTCGATTTGCGTGCGTGATTTTTCAGCACGTGAGATTGGTTCGATTTTCTATGTCAGCAAGTCCTAACAATCTCAGAGTACATTAGAAAACTAAACAAAAATACTTGATTTAGGTGGAGGGGAGATAAAAATATATTTAAAATCCATTGAAATTCCGTATTTAAACAAAGAATAGGTCATTTTCTTGAATTTTCTCAAATAAGCAAAGTGCATGATGAATTCGAAATTATTTAGTTTTTCTTCATGATACAATAAATTATGGAGAATTGTTCCAGGAACTAACCTCTATAACGTGATTTCGAATATAGAGAGAGACCCTATACGGAATTGACCCGATGTCGTTCTCGTGCTTTCGTTTCCGGAATCGATAGCCGCGGGTTCGTTTCATGTCTTGGGAAACTCACATTTAAGTGGGGGGACCTTGACAGTGGGTTATCGTGCTAGTTTTTCTCCAAAAAAAAACCTATTAATTATGATAATCCTCCTAGATTATTAAGAAAAAATACAGAGAGAAAAGGAAACAGCGTAAAAGAAATACACTGGATAATATATTCCATGACAGTATTTTGTCTTTGCGTTAGTTTGTGTGTGCGGTTTTTTAGCCCATGAGATTGGTTCGATAATCTTCAATGTCATCGAGTGCTGACAATCTCGAGCATATTAGAAAACTCAACCAAAGCACTTGATTTAGGTGGAGGGGGAGATAAAATATTTTAAAGATCCGCTGAAACTCCATATTTAAACAAAGATCATGACATTTAAATGGGATTTTCTCAAATAAGCGAAGTGCACCATGAATTCGAGATTATTTATTTTTTCTTCACGATACAATAAATTATGGAGAAATGTAACTTGAAGAGAAGAAAAACTAAATAATCTCGACTTCGTGATGCACTTGGCTTCTTTTATATGTGTGTGCAGAAATGGAGTGCTAGCCTACCATAATCACTAGTGGGGGGTTACAACTTTTGGAAATTAATTACTAGAGGAGTATGGTTTCTCCAAAATTAATAATGCCAAGAAAAAAGGCCCAATACAAAAATGTTAGATTTTAAATGTTCATGTTTTAATAATTTACTTGGTGGGGGTGAAATGATAATGGAATATTGTCATGTCAGGGTTTTTGTGGAGATCCTAGGTTAGCCAAAATGCCTTCTCCTTTATAAAATTCACATAAGATAAAAAAAAATTATTGCAAAAATATAAAATAAAGAAGAAAAGGCTTTGATTAGACTCTCATCATTATTTCATGCCAAGTACCCACTTGACAATAATGTTGTTAAAATAAACTCAAAAGGTTCATCATCATGACAAAGCTCCTCTAGTTGGCTCCCCAATCAAATTAAGAAAAAGAAAAAACATAAGCAAGTTGCACTTGCACATGAACACTTCTCCACTTTTTGATGTGTACTAAATTAAAAATATCTCGTATGATCATTGAACTGTGCCATGAAATCAGCAATCTTGTGGGCCCTTTTTTTCATTTTAAGGAAGATGTCTCGGATAAGATTCTTATACTATAATGAAATAATTTCAAGAGTAATGTCGGGTATGCTAGATCGATATACTAAAGCGACAGAGCAGATAAAAAAAACAAAATTTTAAACGAGTGGATTGTACTCAACGTTCGATGAAACTCAATCACGACGCTTAATACATCATCTTTACGCTATTTAGCATATATTTATGCCGAGTGATCATGATTAGTGACCTAAGTGATGATAACGTGTCAACAAAGTATGACATATCCTAAAGTGAAAATGACACAAATAGTCCCCGAACTTTGATCCAATGTGCAATGTAGTCCCTGAAATGTAGCCAAATGCATAATGTGGTCCCTGAACTTTCAATTTGATTTCTGAACTTTTGGTGCATTTTCAATTTAGTCCCTGAACTACATGAAAATGTTCAGTTAAGTTAAACATGTATCAAAAGTCCAAAGACCATATTGAACAAATGAAAAGTTTAAGAATCATATTGCACATTGAAATAAAGTTTATGGACCATTTGTATTATTATTCCTATCCTAAATACAAAACTTCTGGACCATGAACGAAGAGCCAGAGCTTTGAAGCCCAAAATGATCGTGAAACATTTGAATCAGATGTGGGCTAAGCCCAGAACTGATCTAACTTTTGCTAGTGTTCTTAATTTTTATAATTAATTAATTTATTATTATTATTATTATTATTATTTTGCTAAGCTGGTGCTCTTGAGTGTGAATGCTAGAGTGAGTGAGCTCGACCACCTTGACCTGGACCACTTTGACTTGGACCATATGATGTCTCCATTTCATCAAGGCCACGCCATCTTCATCGTCTCTTTCTTCACATGAACAAACCCAACAACTCAATTCAAGAAATATGCATAAAAATTAAATTAATTACCAAACGGGATCTGGAATAAATCGCAATACCATAACTCGAGGAGGGCAAGAAATATCGACTTTTACGAAATTTCATAAGTCACGACATGCATTTCGCTGAAAATTGCACTGAGCGCCAGACGTCATATAATCGACAGCAATAATTCTTGGCTCATAATTGCTATCAGATGTCGTGGGGTTCGACATTGACTCCTCTTCATGTGCATGTAACACATGTTAATGATGCTGTTCATGTGCAACATTTTCATAGCTGTCCATTCCAATGTAATTTTCATCGTGCAAGAGCATATTAGCTGCGAAGTCAAGATGGGAATATTCGACCAAAAAAAAAAGGATGGGAATATTGGAAAAAAGAGAAGAAAAAAAAGTATAAGCAATAAAAATCGACGGAGAATGCACGAAGTCAATGAGTCAACGGCAGTTGTGTCATGCAGTCTCGCAGTATCCTTTTTTATTTTCCCAAAATAAAATTAATATATTTTAATTAATTATTAGCACGGTATCTTTGACTGAGTCGAGGCTGGTGCAGCTACCAAATACGACTACCTAAAATATTTAATTTTAATAGGTCAATAATAATAAAAACAATTGATAATACGAAAAATCCCAAATTGATATATTTATACCTGTCACAAATTTACTCTTCATTAATTTCCTTTGAAATTTACCATCAAATTGCTGAGTTAGATGACACGGTAGTTGACGTGTGTACCGGTTTGGGGTTTTACCACTCCGTCTGTTACATGTTTACCAGTTTATGATTTTTCGCGGTATTAATCCAATCTAACGATGGATAAATTTGTCACGAGTATATCAATTTGGGATTTTTTGTGGTCAAAAAATTAGTTCGGGACAAATTTGTCATAGGTGTATCAATTTGGGATTTCGGTTGTCAAAAATTAATTATGGGTAAAATTGTCACAAGTGTACCAGTGTGGGGTTTTTGGTGGTCAAAAAAATAACTCGGGGCAAATTTATCATAGGTGTACTAGTTTAAATGGGTTATTTTTGTGGTCAAAAAATTAATTATAGATAAAATTATCATAAATGTACTGATTTAAAATTTTTCGTGGTATTAACCCATTTAAATATCTTCTTCGGAAGCCAAAATTTATAATAAATTCACAACCATTAGTGAAAAAGTCTTTTCTTACCTAATTACCATTATGAGCTGAAGTGCTTTCAATTCATCACCTATTGAGGTCCATTTCGCGGACTTTAAAAAAATCCAAATCGAGGTACGCTCGTTTTTCACGGAATGTAGGGCAATCAGTTTGTCACTTAGAAACATTCATCAGTTACCAACTCGTATAAATCTCCATATCTATTTCTTTAAGCGATGCTCGTTTTTCACGAAATGTCCGTGTGATCAATTTGTCACATAAAACATTCATTTTCGTTCTTTGAGTGACCGATACATTCCACATCGAACCCGAATACAATTTTAATTTCACGAAAACCCACGGCTCTATCTTTGACGAAATTAGATAATCCCATCAAGTATGTTTTTTTTTTCCTACGAAAATTCAAAACACATAGTGAATTATTTATCTGAATCCCACTATATATATACTAATCGGGAGATGCCTACTTTTTCCCTTTTTGGCCAAAGAGGCTTAATTGAAATTAAAAGTATCGCACGACATCTAAAGCATTTGTGCCAATTTAATCTTAAACCTTTTAATTATGTCAATCGAGTCATCAACCTTCTTACGTTGTTAATTCAGTCCATCCGGCCAATTTTGGCCGGAAATAGCTGATGTGGACGCCAGCGGCCAGCCGTCCCACGTGACATTTGCCGACGCTGGCATGGCCTTTTTTAAAATATTTTTTTAATATTTTTTTCAAATTGTATATAATTTTTTTCTCTATTTTTTTTTTTTAAATTTCCCTAGACATAGGGCCGGCGACCATGTTCCACCTCAAAAACGTGTCTGTCCATGCATGGAATGGACTGTGGAGGATAAAGGAGGGAGGAGACACAGGGAATCAGTCTACCAATCAGTTACCCCTTTGTCTAAATTTTTCTCATCGCGTTTGTTTTTGTCCCTTGATCGATCGATGTAGTCATCTGAATCTATCAAATTCGACACTGGGTCCTTCAATCTCGATCCTGCAATGGCAATCGATGATGCGACGATCCACGAGGATGTGATTGGACAAGCGTATCGAACTAGATATTTTGTGTCGTGCAGAACTCGCGCGACATTTGTCCGCACCGCAAAAGAGTTCCACAAGGCGAGCGCAAAATTGAGTCGATTTGCACGAGATGATGTAACGTTCAAATGACCCACTTCACATGCACTTGACAAGGACAAATGACTGATCAAAGACAGAAGGGGCTCAGAAATCATGTTGAACACCGGTGTTCTTTCTGAGATTGCTGTTGGATAATGACTTAATTGGATGCCGGCATGCATGGTGAACGGATGAACAGATCTGTGCCGAGAGCCAATCTACTTGATTTTCATGGGAAATTCTATGTATTGTGATCGGTTTTGTCCGGTCACGTCAGTAGGATGCTTAAGGGTGAATCGAGGCGTACGTCGCCGCCGTAAGCAGCCGCGATTGCCGAAGCTTAGCTTTGGAGAGGAAGGAAATTGCTATTGAACTTTATCGACGATTTACAATATTTGCAGGACAATCTTACATTGCCTCTTAATTCAGGAAAGAAAACAGAACAAATATGAGAAGAAAGAAAGAAAGAAAGATAAAGAAAGTAACACAGTATCACAAACTTGACTCTTTTGAGTCCCAGTTTCTTCTCCGCAAGCTTTCCTTTTGTTTTCCTCCGACCCTGGATCTAAAGAGCTGTTTTATATACCCCACTATTCTTGGGATGCCTTATACAAACACAATCGAGGCCTCTTCCGACGCCCTTTCTTCTTTCGGATGTCTTTTGTGTTTTCTCGCGTTAGATTAAGCGGTAACCTTGGCAACATCTTTGCTGGATCGGTTGTACTTCATGTGGCTATTCACGAGCTGCCCCGCCGCGAGGGCGGACATGAGAGAGAGCTCACCGGCAAGGACAGAGCCGGCCACGATGGTGGCCAGGAGCCTGGAGTTAGCTCCCGCCAATTCCTTGTTGGCGCCTTTCACGCCGAGCAGGTTCAGACATGCTGACTGGGAAGCGAGCTGAGTCCCACCTCCAACGGTACCCACCTGATGGGAAAAAAGAAAGGAATCACACTGTTAGTTTCAGACTCAATAGATAGTCGTGGAGAACGTCCATTAGATTCTATCAAATGCAGATAGAACACAATCGATTCCCGAGTCGAGATCGCCTCGCAATTCGGCGAAATCATAAGCGAACCATTGCAAGGTTCGCATCCCGTTTTTATATTCGGTAAAAGGGCACGCCCTTTTCTGAACTATGTTAACTCACCCTATTAGAACTTCTCTTTTCTAACAGTCTCTGTTCATTTGGTAGAAATATTCCTAAAGAATAAGCAACCGAAATAACTAACTAAACGGACTGGATCTTGTACCTCAATAGAAGGCATGGTGACAGAAACATGAAGGTCCTTTCCATCGTTAATGGCCTCCATCATGGTTATGCAGTGAGAACTCTCCACGTTCTGGGCGGGATCTTGACCCGTGGCAATATAGACGGCTGCCACGATGTTGCTTGCATGGGCGTTGAAGCCTCCGAGAGCCCCGGCCATGGCGGAGCCAGTGAGGTTCTTGAGCATGTTGAGCTCGACCAAGGCCTCGACGCTGGTCTTCAGCACCTTCCTCACCACATCGCCCTTGATGGTGGCCTCGCAGACCACGGATTTCCCTCGCCCCTCGATCCAGTTCACCGCCGCCGGCTTCTTGTCGGAGCAGTAGTTCCCGGAGATCCCGAGGACGTCCATGTCGGGGAAGTCGTTCTGGAGGAAGTCGAGAACGTTCTGGACTCCTTTCGAGACCATGTTCATGCCCATCGCATCTCCCGTGCTGCAGGAGAATCTCATGAACAGATTCTTTCCAGCAATCGCACACTTGATGTTTTGGAGCCTCGCAAATCTACTGGACCTGCTCAGACGCAATGGAAAGAAACATCGTTAATGAATGCTCGGACCAAACTCAAACTGATAAACGCCAAAATGGGAGAAAAGCAGAAGAGTAACTACATCAAGCAATCATCATGCAAAATCAGTAGAACTACACATGCACCAATTGTCAAAAAATTATGACCCCACCAGTCTTGAGCTCGCAATTTCTAATCTTGAACCGAAGACCACCAAACTCGGCACCTTTTCAACACACTGTACACTGATTTTACTACAAGTAATTGTAGAACCAACGAGTAATATGCACCCACAAAAAGACCATCTAAACAGAAGAACCAAACCGACCTGTTGAAAACGACGGACAAGCTGTCGAAATTCGCGGGATTCTCCAGGAAGAACTTGAGGTCAGCCGCCCTCTTCGCCGTGGCGAACCTGACGATAGGAGCCCTCGTCATCCCATCCCTCAACAAGACGCTGGTTGCACCACCGGACACGAAAATGGCCTTGCAGCCCCTGTTGGTGCTCGCTATCAAACACCCCTCGGTGGTCGCCATCGGGACCGAGTACTCCCTCCCGTCGAGCAACAGTGGCCCTGCAATCCCCACCGGTATCTGCACATATCCAACCGGCATCTCGCAACACTGCCCCAGTATCGAGTCGTAGTCGAACCCCTCCAAGGGCAATCCCGAGAGGGACTTCCCCGTCATCCTCTGCAACGCCTCGCGCCGGATCGCAGCCGCTCTCTTGCAGTCCCCAAGCTTCGACTCGAGCGAGTACGACGGCATCTTTCCCTCGACAACCGATTTGATAATCTCCTCATCCTCTTCGGGCAAAGCGCTGGGCACTGCCTCGATCACCTTCTCCTTCGGGGCGTCCTGCACGACCGGATCGACAAGCTTTGGTTTCTGCACGACCGGCGCGCAGTCGAGAGCCTGGCCGCAGGGCGAACTGCGGGAATCCTCCCTGAGGAGGATCTTCTCGTGATCGGCCCCGGCGCCCACGACCTCGTCCTCCTCCTCCTCGTCCGCGGTCCACACGTCGCCGGCGGGACGGAGGATGAGGGACTGGACGAAGTCGACGCCGAAGAACCCGACGAGGTAGATGAAGGAGGCGACGAAGGCGACGATGGCGGCCATCTCGGCGGGGGTCACCAGGTGGAGCGGCGTCGACGTGCGGATCTTCTCCCTCCACCGCGACAGGAGGTAGTACACGACGGAGAAGAAGAGGGTGAAGAAGACGGCATTGGTGAGGTAGAGGGGGAGCGGCAGCGCGTCCGACGCCTTGAGGGACGACGCGTCGTCGCCGCCGACGACGACGACGCCCCGGTGCTGCTTGGCCCCGGGGCTGACGGGGCCATCGAGGTGCCTGGCGGGTCGACGGCGGACGTCCATCGGGTGCGGCGGCGGCGGCGGCGGCGGCGGCGGGGCTGCCGGCGGCGAGGCGGGGAGGGAGGTGCTCGACGAAATGCCCGCGAGAGAGAGAGAGAGAGACAGAGGTTACGGGGAAGGGAGATGTTTTTTTCTATGTATGTGTTTGAATGGTGGAGAGAGAACGTAGGGAGGGTCGGTATTTATAGGGTTGTCGCGGGCGGGGGTGTTGGCTCGCACGGGATCGGAGGGGCAATGAGGTAATTTCGGCTTCCGGCGAGGGCGTGTTGGCACGTGCGCTCTCTCTCTCTCTCTCTCTCTCTCATTTTCCCTTTTTGCCCCTCCCATTTCCGCAAAAGGAAAAAACAATTATTGCTTTTTCATATTTTTGCTTGTCCCACTTCGATCTTCAATTTTTTGGGAGGCCCTTTGATGAAACCATTTTCCTGACACGTAAAGAAAGCATCGCGCCTTTAATGAGGTGCTTGTGAAATTTACCTGGCGACTCGCGACATAGTGGTTTTTTTCTTCTCTCTATGCCGTTCCGATCGGTATTCGAGAACCGTTATCGCGGCTACGGTACGTCGAGGGAGATTGCCGAATCGGCGCACGACGTGCACCGTTCGGTCGACATTTAATATCGACCCGACACCCTAAGATATCGTGTCCACCCTGAGTTTTGATCGAACCGACATGTCCAGCCCTTCTGCACTAAGGTTCCGCTTGTTCCGCGGGAATAAATGATATTCCTAAAAGTGGTCGCTCGTTCATTATCGGCAACAATTCGTGCCCGATCATTTTCGTGGACGGTGAAGATATATTTTCTGTTCATTAATTACTTTAAGCGATACAATCAATCGTTTTTTAGGAAAATATTTTCCAAATTATTCATTTTCTAGGAAACAAACGGAGGCTAAGGCCGGTCTAGATTCTTCCCGCCGTCAACTTATGACTTAGGTACATTAACAACTCCAATAAGGCCCAATTGATATCAATTTCGTGCCTAACCTTACAATTGACCTAAAAATTTTGGTTCATCTTTTAGCATGACATGAGGTGATTCTTCACCCTTTTGCATCCCTCCAAAGTCAAAAACGCTCAAGGTGATTTCGGCTGGTGTTGCCCAATAGAGACCGATTCAGCAGGTTTTGCTTGCCCTGATATGGAAGCAGGAAAATTAGGGTTATTCTGTCCCGAATCTTGTCTCACTTTGACAGTTTGACCGCAATACCGTTTTATAATGGAAAAGGAGATTTGGACCTAAGCAAGTCCTTAAAAGGTTCAATCTCAATCCTCGTCCGGACCTCAGGATTACCATAATGTAAAATTTTCAGAGAGTATTCCCTATCCATAGGGAAAATAAAGATATAGGAAGAATTGGGGGTGCGAGCCGGACACGTTAAAATAAGGAACGCGTCCGTGGAGCCCGATAATTAATCTCGATAATTCGAATAGCAGGAATTAAAGTTATTCTCTCCCGGATTTTGTCTCACTTTGAAAGTTTGACTGCAATACTGTTTTATAATGGAAAAGGAGATTATTTTTTTAATTATGTTCATAATTTTTTTAAAGTTTTTAATGCAGAGCTGTCTCTGTTTGACTTGAAAAATTTGTCATTTGGTTGGGTTGGGTGAGATTAGAAGTTAACAAAGCTGGAGGCCAATTGGCAAAATCTTTGAATAATGCATGCCATGGTAACCTTTTTCTCTCCATCATAACCAAGGGAAAAAAAAAAGCATTAGTTTGGCGGATAATTAATCTCGATATTTTGAATAACGTTGAGAGAGAAAATTTTAATTAACTATGTCCCCGCGACTATCATATGATGGTGAGAGGAAGGACGTATACAACTTAGACACCCCCTTTGCCGTCGCGTAATTTATTATGTATTGATTTAGCAACAAGTTCAATCGCACTCATTTTACGCTTCAACTCACCTTTATTCTCGTTCTGTTTGATGTGATCGAGCCGAGAAAATAAGATATCCCAGTTAATTTAGATAGGTTTTCTCTTTTGTGAATCGGGCCTTATCTTGTACGAAGTATCTTTTAACATGAAAATATGTTAAGGAAAAAAAAGGAAGGAAAAATGAGAACAAATCATATAAATTCATCCCTACCTGAGTCCATTCATAGAAATATTATCTTAATTGTGTTTTAACCGAACAAAAATCCAAAATTTAGAAAAATAAATGAATGGAAAATTTCTTCGTCGCCCACGAAAACGGTTAGGCATAGATTGTTATCGATAATAACAATATTTTCAGTCAACCAATTTTTTTTTTAACAACATAAACAATTGCGTTATAACCCGAAGAATAACCCATAATTCAAAAATGAACAAAGTTAAGAGCGGATGAAAATGTTCCCCACAAGGACAAGAAAAAAAATATATATGCGTGTAAGCAGCTGTGTATGATGTGAAATTAAAATAACGACTATGGCGATATCCAACCTACCCACCATAATTAATGTCATTTGCGTGCACATTTAAGACTGACTTTGCGCAAGGGAAAGGAAAGCTGAACTGCTTTTGGACGAACATGCATTCAACAAACGCAACCTTTTGCGATTGTTTCTTTTATATAAGGTCAAAAGCTTGCGAGTGTTTAGTGGATGGCATGGACCAACCGGGACCGAACACAGAGGTTATTAAAACCGAAAGGACCGCCTTTAATTCCGAGGGCTTACGTCCAAAAAACTTAGATGGGAGTAGTTCCCATCCGTTAAAGTCAAATTAGGGTTCACATCACATAAATATTTTTCTTTCTTTTACTGTTTTTGAATAGAGGCTGAGGTTGGTGGCATGCAATTCATGCAGGAGATCACATAGGGCTCGGAGAGAGAGAGAGAGGGAGGGGAAGGAAGTATCTGGAGGGACAGGGACAGGGACAAGGACAAGGGTTCGGATTTTTTTGCTGATTTTTATTTCGGTTCATGTGGTATATGGTATTAACCCTTTATTTCGATTTAAAATCGAGGTGAATTTCGTTTCGCGAATGAAGAAATAGATGAATGGTGATATCGTGCGAATCGCCGATGAAGTGATTAATGTCGTATCGTTAGCGTTCAAGGAGTTTGTCTTGATATGGACCAAGGAACAAGTTCCTTGTGAAGAACGTCTCGAATCATTTCGCATGCTAATCGTCACTATCTTCAATAATTTCAATCTCATCATCATTATCTTCAATAATTCCAATAAGAAAGTCGATGGAAAGTATGATATCGCTAGTAATTTCACTATTTTACTCGTGTTTGTAATGTTATGAAAATCAATAAATATATTATAAACCGATTTTTTTTTCTTTTTTGGCACTTCTCTTTCCCTTATCGTTCTCTCATCGGCAGTTGATGCAACCTCGGGTCCCTTTTGAATGCGAAACGAATTTATGGAATAGTCAGCGACAAAAAAGTCTACATTATTTTTTTGTTTTTTTTGGTATAATGGAAAAAAAAAGTCTACAAAATGAGGCTGCATATATAGTGCTAACAGTTAATTTTTTTGCACGACAAATTAACACGTGTTGAGCCGACCAACTTTGACATGTCCATTCCTCGTTTTTTCATTCAATGCATTGGTAATGACTCATCACTGAAGCCAAAAATTTCCTCCGGTGTATATTGACCATCAAAGAAGGACCGCAGTTTCATAATATTGCTGTTCTAACATGGATTTTTTCATATGGTTTTTAGCACATTTCAGGTTGCTCGTTTCACTCTAAAACCATGGTCTCGAACAATTCGATTCCATGACAGCTTAGGTCGATCCCGACCCTTCTCCCTCCCGGTTTTGGTTGGAACTTTTCTAAAATCGACGGTTCCGCCTCTGTAAGCTATCACGATCTCGACGCGCTCCTCCATTTCAAACGAAAGAGATTGCGATACGACCGGAAACGCGAGGATTCCAGCCCTCTTCCTGCCCCCTTTTTTCTTTTTTATTTCCGTTTTTTCTCTTGCGCGGATCAGATGGACTCACAAGAGCGAGCTTGGTTGACCGACCTCATCTCGATCCCAAATAGTCAACATTGTCCATCTCCCCCAAAGCCTATGCCCAAGTTCTTGATAAGGGCAATGTGAAAAGAATCAGACATTGCTAAGAAAGTAAACGAAATACTGCTAGCCATATAATAATTGTTTGGGCGGAAATTGAAGGCGATTTCACGGTGGCAGAGATATGGTCCCATGCGCTCTTCCGGTCTGCAGCGGTAGGCGCCAATTTAGTTGAGCTTTGCTGTTATGAAGTAGGACACTCGGGGAAGAAATCAAAAACTGTGTGCCTGTTAAGTGCACTTGTCTCCCCCCCACCACCACCACTTGGATGATTCTTTGTATTTCGGTACTTGTCAATCAGCAAGTTGGGGAAGGGAAAAAGAACCACTTAATTAGGTGCATTAATTAGGCGACTTTAATCATCATGTATCTGCTAATCATGTAGTTGTAATTTGAATAATCGACCCCCTTTGATGGAAATTAGAAGAGCTGTTCTAGCTCTATTTCGAAGTAACTTCTGAGCGGATCATATCGTGCCGCGCGTTTTTTCTTTCTCGCTTTCCCTAGGATCGAGTCGTTTTCGATCGAGGGTTCCGTCGGTTTCCCATAGTAGACAAAGAAGTCCCGGCACGCGACGGAGATAAAAAAACGGGGATGTTTCTTTCGCGTGCCGTGCAAACACGCTGCCCTGCATCGACTTTTCGTCAAGGGGAGGGCATCGGTACTGAGGGGAAAAAAAAAAGAGACGGAGGCGATCGTCCCTATCGAAAGCCGTTCCGCACATTGAGCACGGCCGAATCTGTAACTTCAGAAACCACGTCCGGACCTCATCGGATCGAGCCCGGATCGTCCCGGAGAGCAATTTACACGGTCCGACGGCTCCTATCCGGATCGAGCACAGCCAAATTTCGGAACATTCGAAACCCTCGATATTTTGACAAAAAAAAAAGAAGATTTCGATTTCAATTCTTTTGGTCTTTTGCGATGCACTGAATGATGGGGGAAAGAAGGCTCACACGCATCATGTTATTTGGCCACTGGATTTGGGGGCAATACCATGCAATCCTGGCTCAACACGAAAA